ACTAATAATGCATAATAGCAAACTTTAGATACAGCTTTGTTTTCTAATGCATTTTGTGAATATGATGTTCCATGAAGAAGTTACCTAGCATGCTGGGGAACACACACACAAGTGCTGGGCAGTCTATTTGCTGTCTGTGGAAAACCAGAAGAAGGTGTTAGAAGCCATACAAATTTGACTCTAGAGGAAGAATATAATGGTTGGTGAATATAACTACTTCACAAAGAGATCTCTATATTAGGTAAGGCAGAAAAGTGGCATTTGTAGACACAAAATTGAAAATTTAGGGCTGTAAATTTACCTCTGACTATGATTCTGAGTAGTAAGTGGTGAGATGATTTTGAATGGTGGAATCAACTCAATCCACACTGAGAACTTACAGTATTTAGGTAGCAAAGACAGCTCAAAATAAATGTTTACAAGATAAATGCTCAACTAATTACTTATAGGATAGCCCTATAAGCAAAGGCACTACTCTACAAGTAGAGAAAACATGCACTTTGAGTTAGACAAACTTGAGTTTGATTCAGACTACTACTTCTAAGTGGCCTGGACATTAAAGTAAGGCACCACACTGTATTGTATGAAATGTATACACAGTGACACTTAGGGTGTTGTTTTTATTTTGTAAGAACAGAAAAATAAAAAGTAAAAAAAAAACAACGATAACTATAGGGAAAACTTACCCAGATGGACTTTGATTTTGAATTACTGCATTTTTTTCTTATACTTAAAAATATTACTCAAATAACTGTACAATGCTCAAGAAGACATAATAGCCACACAAAAAATTAAACATATTTTAAAATAATTTTTCTTCAGTAAACTTTTTTTAATATAAATTAACTATCACAGACAATAATCTTGAGAGAGAAATTAATAAATCTTAATAGCACCTTCTTTCACCCATCATATAAAAGAGTAACATGCTAATTGACCATGCCTTCACAACACCCAACAGCCAATCGGGAGTGGATATGCAAATTAACCCAACAAAGCTGGTTAATTTCCACACCACCCCAGCCACTCCAAGCCTCTGGGAAGTGTGGGAGGGCAGAAAGGCTGCTCCAGGGTGGAGCAAAGGCGGTGCCATCAGCCAGGGGAAGGAAGGCCCATTCTTGCATGAATCTTCCTGCATCAGGCCTCTAGCCTATACTAATCAAAGGGTAATATGCTAATTAGACTGGGACCTTCTGGACGTCCTTCTGGACAAAGCCATGGTGGTGGGGCCGAGGCAGAAGCAGTTAAGGGCGAGCAGGCCAGCAAGAGGGAGGGGGATAGTTGGTGGTGAGCAGGATGGCAGTGGGGGACAGTTAGGTGCAATCAGGCCAGCAGGGGGGCAGTTGGGGGTGAGAAGGTGGCAGGCAGGGTGATTAGGGGCGATCAGGCAGGCAGGCAGGTGAGCAGTTAGGAGCTAGAGGTCCAGGATTGTGAGAGTTATGTGCGACTGCCAGGTTAGACCTGATCCCTAGATTGGAGAGGGTGCAAGCTGGGCTGAGGGACAACCCCATTACCCCTGTGCACGAATTTCATGCACCAGGCCACTAGTAGGATTATAAAAGCAGCAACTGTTTCAAGATGGAGAAAATATTTTAAAATACAGAAGAAGAAAAAAAGTAAAAGCTACACAGAGATAAATACAAGTAAACCAGAAAGTATATAATTCTAGATTTTTACTATATATAATATAGATGGTTAATGTGACTATATCTATATTAATGCAAGTGAGATAATATTGTATATACTATTTGCAATTTGCTTTTACAATGGAGAAATAATTAAAATGTTTTAACATAAATATCCCTCTACGTTAATTTAACAAATGATTAATATTACACTATGTGAAAATCTAATGATTTAGCTAATACATCTGTTGCAAAACTTTTTATTCCCAATGCTTCGCTACACAAAAGATAATACTGTGTTGAACATATTAATATCTGAATTTTGTAATACACCCATGATTATCTCATTAAGTCAGATTTCTAAAAGTGGGATTGCAGGGTAACAAGTAAAAATATTTAAGAGATTTCTAAGGAATATTGAAAAACTGACCACTAGGAAGACAATACCAATTAACACATCTATCAGCAATGTACACAAATAGTTATTTCCTGAAATAGTTCTCACAAATATTTAATGTTATCATTTTCTTATTTACTTCTGGCAAATTAATAGGCAAAAATACCCTACATTAATATGTATATTTTATTACTAGAATTATACATTTTGTTCATGTTATTATTAGCCTTTTATTTTTTCTTCTTTCTGACTGTCTAAATATAACTTTTGCAAATTTCCCCATCAAATTCTTTTTATTAAATTTGAAACAATGTGCTACATTGTTATGTACTACAGACATTAACCTTTATAAATATTTATTGTAATTATTTTTATGAATAAATTTACATTCTACTTCCTTTTTTAATTCCTTATAGATACTTTAAAAAACATTTTATGCAGTCAAATTATTAACCTTTTCCTTAATGACTTCACTTTTTGGTGTGATCATTATAACAATGAATCACTTTCAGATTATAGAGATATTTGCTAATATTTTTATTGGTTCCCAATAATTGCTTTCTTTTTAATAATTTAAACATGTATTTAATCTAGAATACATTTTGATATATGAAATAGTGACTTAACTTCTTTTCATCCAAATGAAAAGATGTAGTGGCAACAACAATTGCTGAATGCATCTTTATCATATACAAAATTCTTACATACTAGTATACTTTGAACTACTTATAGATTTTTAATCTATCAGTCTATTTCAGCGTGAGAAGTATATTACTTAAATTATTTTTTGTTTATAATAATATTTCTATATTTAATAGAAAAAGACCACACCATTAATTTTTTCTTTTTTTTTTTTGGCAAATATTGTCCATGTTTGTCTCCAGTGAATTTTAGAATTATGTTGTTATGATACTGATGATCACCATCAAATTCACTTGATATTCACTGCAATTAGAATAATTTTGGGAAAACTCTCTGTAATATAAAATATTCCATTTTAGAACTTTGTGCATAATGAAGTCTTTTTTAAATGACTCTATGACATGTTCTTCACATTAATCCCACATATTACTTGTTAAGTGTACTCATAGAAATCTTATATCTTATGTCCCAATAGCAAATAAATTTTCTATGAGATATCACTAATATAAGTGAAGTTGATTTGTTTTCAAGTAGACCATCAAACCAAGGAAGATCTTATTGGTCTTAATTATTTTTCAGTTGATTTTCTTGGACTATCTATAATTAATGACAATATTATGATTCATTAAAATAATTATAATTTACTTCTTTTTTACCTTATTTAATATATGTTCTACAGAAGTTGTGAGAAGCATCTTCACCATACTTGTGATATAAATGCAAATAAATGTTTATAGTGTTACACTGGTAAATCTATGATGACTGATGAAATTCATATAAATGTTCTTTATCATGTTATTGAAAAATTACATTGCTTGTATCTTTTTGTCCTCTCTTGCTTTGGTATCAAGATGAAGCTAAATGAAATCATCTAGTTTTCTGCAGACATATGCTCTCACTGAGCACTAGAAAAGGCAATAAAAACTAGAAAAAAACACATATTTTAAGGTATTAGAATACTGTGAAGCAATAAGGACTAAAGGAAATAAAACTACAAAGAGGGCAAACCTTTTCAAAGTGAGCTGAGGACCTGTGGCTGCACCTTGAGGCATCTGCCAAACCTAGGCATTGGAACAGACTGTAAATCGGGTTAGGTCCAGTAGAGAATAGCTACTGGGGTGAAAAAAATATCACTGAATTTTTGTTGCTTTTATTATGAAGCTGAGGTCTCAAAATTGGAGATTTGAGAGTCAGTTCTCGCCACAAGACATTTTCTGAAATCTAAAGCTGCACAGCTGAGAAAAATAAGGGTCTAAGCCAACTTCTGAAAAGCAAAGTAAGATTCCCCAGTCTTACAGTGTTTCAGAGAAAAAGCCTCACTAGTGAGAGGATTCCTGGGACTCTCAGGTGAGAGCTGAAAGCTTTGGAGGGAGTGGTGAATTGACATGGACAGTCTCCAACCACATTTTTTCCTGTTGGCAATTGGCGATCTGAGTAAAACTCAAGACATTTGGCAAATTCTAAAATCAAAGAAGAAAAGAGGAGGCTAAAGTAATTAAGATTCCTCTGAAAAGAGGAAATTTCCATGATCTTCTTTGTGCTGAAGAGACAATGACCTGCCAAGCTCTCATTAAAAGCACTGAGCAAACCAAAGATACACACAACTGCAATCCAGCTTGATCCAGCCTATGATTGGATGAAGGTGATGAGGCTCAAACCACAACTCACCCACCCATTCTACCTACTTAATAAAAAATAATAATAATAAAAATAAAAAAATAGGTAAACCAAACTTGGTGGGAGATGATACCCCAAAAACCTCTACATATTTTAAACCAAGAGTTTTATGTCAACCAGAAAGTAGTAGAGCCGGGGCAATGTTACCAATAACCAAGAAAAAAAAAGGGGATCAGAAAGAAATCCACCAATATGTAGGTAAAGTATACATTAGTATTTATAAACAATGACTTTAAAATGACTGTGATTACATAGCATGAGGAAAAGAGAAAAATTAAATTAAAAGATGGAAAGTCTTAGCAGAAAACTTGATATTATAAAAAAAAAAATGGACATTCTAGGACTAAAAAATACATATCTGAAATCCTAACTCCTAAATTTCTCTTCTATTTCCACCAAGGCATTCACTATGTGTTTGCTCTAATTACCCTTAAGTTAGAAGGAATATAAGTAGACATAATGTTAGGGACTATTTTCAGAATAAACAAAATGTAAAAGTAAATTAAAAAATAATAGATCTTTAAATCTTGTTAGAGGATGATAATTATAGATGAGCTTTTATAAAGAACTTCCAGATACAGACAAATATTCTTCACTAAACTCAATTTGAAGAGAACATTTTTCTATATAATGGACAAAGTAAAGCAACTGTCACTTACAGGCAGGTGTGTGAATACAGCAAAGGTGCTACGTAGAAAGGCAATGAGGTCTACTAGGTAGTCACTAGCTTTGTTTCCCAAATCTCCTGTCATCCAATCATAGTCGGCCAGCTGGAGAAACTGGTCAATCTTCTGATTTAAGTTGGTATAAATCTCTTCTTCAGCTGCATGTCTGGCATCCTGTGAAATATGAAATTTTTATAATCATTCAGACTTTTAATATAAGCATAGCAGAAATTTCTGCTTAGAAACATCGCATACCTATCCACTACATAATAGAATTGGGAATATTAAGTAATATTCCATGAGTTTTTATTTTTTCAAAAGCACAGTGAAATATGTTCTATTTTGTGTCTGCAGGACAAGCAATTTTTTTGCTTTACCAAAAAGAAAACCTGGCACTGTCCTTAGCTACATGCATACATTTTCACTTTCATATCTCTGTTCAAAATTACACTCACTCTCAAGATTCTATTCCCTTTCTCTTCTAGGATTCCAAGATCCTCCCTTCCTGTAATATCACTCTCTCCAGTTTCACCTTTTTAATGGTCCAAATTTTGCAGTGCATTTACATATTATAATATAGGCATTTATTATGTTGACTTATATGAACAATGTTTCCATGGATCTTTCTGTGCTTAGTTCTTTACATCTTACTAATAAAAGCCTAGGTGGTCCTGCTGCCATCACGCTGTGATGCCCTCATGCTATCATAAGATAGCTGCATGCACAGCGGAGGCGGGGCCCGGCAGCCACTCCGTGTGGCTTTAGCTGGGGTTCCCATGGCCCTGTGCCCGCCACGGAGGCGGGACCCCCGGCTGACCAACCATTTTCTCTTTGGGGCAATCAATCGCAGGGCTCCCCACTGTGAGAGGGTACAGACCAGGCTGGGGGATACCCTCCAAGTGCACAACTTTCATGCACTGGGCTTCTAATATTTATATAATAATCTACAAACATGACAATTAACTTGTTTGATAATCAACTGTCCTGGAATTCCCATTTTACAAAGTATTTTCTTCTCATTAATAAACATATTTTAGAAATTTAGGCTTAAAGAAAACTGAGCAGAAAGTACAGAGCATTCACATATACTGCCTCCTTAACTTCCTCCCACTGTTTCCTTATTAAAACATCTTGCATTAGTGTGGTACATTTATTACAATTGAAGAACCAATATTGATAATTTATTACTAACTAAAGTCCATAGTTTTGAATTAGAGATTACTCAATTTTGTACAGTTCTATGGCTCCTAAGAAATGCATAATGTTATGTATTCACCATACAGTATCATAAAGAAGTTTCCCTGCCCTAAAAATCCACTCAACTCTACCTACTCATCCATCCCTAGCTCATCCCCTGAATCCTGGCAACCACTTATCTTTTAACTTTCTATATAACTTTGCCTTCTCCAGGGTGTCATATACTTGGAATCATGTGGTATATTATATGACTGAATAGGATGTTCAAGAGTAGCTTTTCAGATTGGCTTCTTTTATTTAGCAATGTGCATTCAGGCTTCCTGCATGTCTTTTCATGGCTTGATAGTTCATTCGTTTTCATAACTGAACAACATTCCATGCTCTGGATGTGTCACAGTTTGTTTATCCATTCATTTCTGGAAGGACATCATTGTTGTTTCAAGTTTTGGTAACTCTGAAAAAAACTCTAAGCATTCACATGTAAGTACTTGTGTGCCTTAAGTTTTCAACTCACTTGGTTAATACCAAGGAGCATGACTGGTAGATTTCACGGCAAGACTAACTATATTTAACCTTGTAAGAAACTGACCAACCATATTCCAAAATGGCATGACTGAGAGCTGCTGTTGCTCCAGCATTTGGTGCTGTTGGTGATTACTATAGTTGGGTAGTGGTATCTCGTTTTAATTTAAAATTCTCTCTCCATTCTTTCATGAGGTGTCTATTCAGATCGTTTGCCCATTTTCAAATTGGGTTGTTTACTCGTTGTTGAGTTTTACCAGTTCTCTGTATATTTTGGATGTAAGTTCTTTATTAGATATGCATTTTATAAATATTTACTGTGGCTTGTCTTCTCATTCTCTTAAGAAAGTCTTTTCCAGAGCAGAAGTTTTCAATTTAATGAAGTCCAACTTAATATTACCTTTGGTGGATTATGTTTTTGGTGTTTTAGCTAAAAAGTCATAGCCAAATGAAAGGTCACCAAGATTTTCTAGGCATTTTATACTTTTGTGTTTGCATGTAAGTCTGTGATCCATTTTGAATTAATTTTTGTGAAAAGTGTAAGATCTTTGTCTAGATTCATTTTTTCCCTTTTTTCCATGTGCATGTCCAGATGTTCTAACACCACTTATTAAAAAGACTCCTTTCTCCAATATACATTTGCTGGAATTTGGACTGCAATTGTGTCAAATATGTAGATCAAGTTGGGAAGAACTGATACCTTGATAAAATATTGAGTGTTCCCTATCCATAAATAAGGGACATATTTCCATTTATTTAGATCATTCTTCTTTGATTTCTTTTTACCAGTTTTATAGGTTTCCTCACAAAAACCTTAGTTTTTAGAGTTATACATATTTCTCTCTTTTTTATGGTGATGTAAATGATATTGTGTTTTAATGACTAATTCTAGTTGTTTAGTAGTAAAAAAAAAAAAAAAAAAGAAAGAAAGCAAAGGATTTCTATATATTAACCTTGTATCTTCAACCTTGCTATATTCACTTATCAGTTCTGGTAGAACGTAGCAAGGTTGGGGATACAAGACAAGGTTAATATACAGTTATCAGTTCTGGTAGTTTGTGAAAAGTTTTTTCTTTGTTGTTGGTGTTGTTGTTGTCAATTCTTTCATATTTTCAACATAGACAACAATGTCATCTGCAAACAAAGTCAGTTTAATTTCTACCTCCTCAACCTGTAGATCTTGTGTTTCCTGTCATATTGGATGCTGAATAGATGTGATCCCTTCCTTTCTCCTGATTTTAAAGGAAAGCTTCTAGTTTCTCACTACCAAGTATATTGTTAGCTATACAACTTGTAAAGATGTTTTGTTCAAGTTTAGGAAATTTCCACTCTAGTTAGCTGAAAGGTTTTAGCATGAATAGATGTTGGATACTATCAAATGCTTTTTCTGTATCTATTGAAATTATTGTTTGATTTTTTCTTCTTTAGCCCACTGATGTGATGGGTTATATTAATTGATTTCTGAATGTTAAATGAGCTTTGCAGTTGAAATAAATCCCAATTAGTTGTACTATGCAGTTGACCCTTGAACTGTTTGGGTCCAGTTAAATGTCAATTTTTCCCCCCAATAAATACTAGAAATAAGTTTTCTTTTCCTTATGATTTTAATAACATTTTCCTTTATTTAGCTTACTTCATTGTAATAATACATATAACATACAAAACATGTGTTAATTGACTATTTATGTTTAAAGTTTCTGGTCGACATTAAGCTGTTAGTTGTTAAATTTTTGGTGAATCAAAAGTTATAACACATATTTTCGACTATGCAAGGGGTCCACCCATAACCCCCACAACTGTTCCAATTGTCAACTGTGTCTACTTCTGATACATGTTGAATTCGATTTTTTAATATTTTGCTGAGTACTTTTGCATTATATTCATAAGAAATAGTGGTTTGTAGATTTCCTTTCTTGAAATGTTTGGATGGTATGAGCGTAATCCTGGCCTCAAACAGTTGAGTAAGGAAGTATTGCCTATACTTCTAGAAAACATTGTAAAGAAAAGGTGTAATTTTTTCCTTAAATATCTGATAGAATTTTTTCAGCTTTAGTAGGGTATTATTGAGAAAATTGTAAGATATCTTAGAATGTACAATGGAAGGATTAGATATAGGTATACATTGGAACAGGATTTCCCACATCAATTAGCACATCCATCACCCCACATTTATTCATCACTATCAAACTATAGGTATAGAGTTATTCACAATATTCCTTTATTATTCTTTTAATGTACATGAAATCAGGAGTGATGGCTCCTTTTTCATTTATTATATTAGTACTTATGTCTTCTCCATTTTATTCTTAGCCTAACTCAAGGTTTAACTTTATGGATCTTTCTAAGAATCAGTGTTTGGTTTCACCAATTTTCTCTTTGGATTTTCCATTCTAATTTCTGCTCTAATTTTTTTCACTTTTTAAAGATTCATTTGCATTTAATTTGCTCTATTTTTCTAGATTCCTAAGGTAGGAGCTTAGATGATTGATATTAAAAATTTACTCTTTTCAAATATAAACAAATAATGCTATTCATTTCTCTCTAAGCACTGTTTTCATTGATGCCACAAATTTTAAAAAATTTTATTTTCATTCGGTTGGAAATACTTTTTAATTTCTCTTAAGACTTTTTCTTTGACCCAGGTATTATTTTAGTTTGTTGGTTATTTCCAAATATTTGGGGATTGTTCTGCTATCTTTCTGTTAATTATTTCCATAGTTCAATTCTATGTGGTCGCATAGCAAGCTTTGTATGATTTCTATTCATTAAAATTTCTATTCATTAAAATGGTGTGTATTAATACTAGAACAGTGATCGGAACTGTGGCCCACGAGGCACAAGTGGCTCTTTGGCCCATTGAGTGTGGCTCGTCGTTAGAACCACTTCTTCAAAATAGACTCGCCCAGGCCAAAAATTAACTTCTGCACATGGGCCATGAAGTTTCAATCGCACTGTATGTGAATACCTGCACGTGGTATTTTGTGGAAGAGCCACACTCAAGGGGCAAAGAGCTGCATATGGCTAGTGAGCCGCGGTTTGCCGACCACTGACCTAGAACATAATCTGTCTTGTGAATGTCCTTAATATCTTGAGAAAAATGTGCATTCATAAAAATGAATACTTTATCTAAAAACAATAAACACTGTTTTTAGATAAAGTATTCAACATGACCCAGTTGATTGATTATACCATTCAGTTCAACTATCTCCTTACTAATATTCTGCCTCCCATACTTGTCAATTACTGATAGAGGGGCCTTCTAAGAAATGTTAAGAGGAAGAGATGTTGACTTATAACTTCCTTGTTAGTATCTTTTTAAATGCTCATACTTTTTTTTTCTCATTTGAACTATTTGTGAATAATTTTAGACAATATTCTAACATTAATCATACTTGCTTTCTTCTCTTTACTTTTACCTCCAATTGTGCAGATAATTTTTTGTGGTTACTGTTTCATTTTTTTTAATCATTGAACTAAACTTGCTTCGTTCAAAAATCTTATATTCTACTCTTTCTCTTATAACCCCATATTCAATCTAACAATAAACTTGCCATCTCTTCCTTTAAAAATATTTCTAACCATTTCCATCCCCACCACTGTAATTCAAGTGAACACTATCTCTTACCTAGACTGCTGCAATAATCTCCAAACTGGGCTCTCTTCTTCAACCTTACTAATCCACAATGTATTTGCTTTCCACACAGTAACCAATGTTACCCATTAATATATGTCAGTTTATCACCATCACTTCCATCTTCTAATGGTCTCAAATTTCATTCCAGGATAAAATCTTACATACTTTCTGTGACCTATAAGGCTAAAAATTATCTGACTCCTATCTTATCTCTTACCATGATAGACACATCACTGCCAGACTGACCTTCTAGATACTCCTTGAATACACCAATGCCTATCATTGTACTGCTCCTTCTGACCAAAATGCTATAGAAATTCAAATGGTTCCATTCTCATTTCATTCAGGTCACTTATTTTTCTTCCTAATTCTTACCATTCCCTGACATTAAATTAGATTTTTTGTGTGTATGTTTATGAACTAGTATCCCCACTTATCACCTGGCATATAATATTTGTTTATTTAGTTCATACCTATAAATTGCCTGGTATGGTGTGGATGCTTTATAGAATCTTGTAGAATCAATGAGGGATTTAATGTATCTATTGTATTATCCTAGTACTTCTCACGTTGTTCAGTATAGAACTTACAGGTTCTGTAGTCCATGTAGATTATAAACTCTAAAGACTAAGAATTTTTTTTTTCATTATTGCATAGTAAGAATACAAATGATATTTGTGGTGAAGTAAATGAATAAATATCTTCATTCTGTTTTATAAAGGATGCCAGCTTACTTATGACACATATGGCAACAAAAGGGAACACTGCAAGAAAATACCTTGAAGACCTTCTAATTCTTCTTGCCCCTTTTCAGCATAAAGATTTCCATCTGCAAGGGAAAGTTTTCTGGAAACAGTAGCTTAGGAAAATACACAACATGTAGCTGTTATAATTGCCATGTTTACACTGAGTTCTGAGTTAGCTGGTCTGAAACGATCCTGGTAAAAATAAACTTTCAATGTGTTTTATGCAACCCGTGTTTCCAATAAGCACTGTGGACATGACCTTTCATGGTCTCCAGAACCTCTCTTTTACTAAGTACTTAACTGGCTGCTCAACCCCTATGGCTTCCCGTCTGCCTTTAATTTTCCCTCAGCGATTTGAATGCTAAAGCAACAACAAAATATACAAGCCATTCTCTGAGAGTACATCTGACCGTAGTCTGAAAAGCCCTTGAAATAAAAAAATAAAAAAAATGAGATAGGTTAGGGGAAGAGTAGAAGAACCTATTACATATTACCCATATATACACAAGTATAAATGATCCTCGAGTTTTCTCTAATGCTTTATTCTCGGCCGAACACTTAACTATAGCCACCACCCCACTCCACTCCCTTACCCTCACCCCTCACCCCCAGCCCCCCACACACATTTTCTCTCCTAGAGATATTTTGGCTTCCACAGTAAATCAAGGGAAAACATATATTGTTAATCTTCACCTGAGGTTGTTTTTTCCATTGATTTTTAGAGAGTCAAAGGGAAGGAAGAAAGGGAGGAAGGGTGGGGAAGAGAGAAAGAGAGAGTGAGAGAGAGACAGGAACTGTGAGATACATCAATTGGTTGCCTCCTGTATATGCCCATCTGAGGCTGGGGATTGACCCTGCAACCCAGGTATGTGCCCTTGACTAGGAATCAAACCCAAGACCCTTGTGTGTGGGTGCTGACATTCTAACCACTTCACCACACCAGCCAGCACTGGATATATTTTGGATACAATATTACCCATGCTCCATAATAATGCTAATATTTAAGAGTAATTGGGTCATTCTGACATTCTTAAAGCTCTTGTCATATTTCCATAATCATTCTTGGGAGCTCTTTATTTATATTTTTACTGATTTTTGAGATAGAGGGGAGGGAAGAGGGAGAGATTGAAACATTGATAAGAGAGGAACATTAATTGGCTGCTTCCTTCACACCCCCTAACTGGGATTGAGTCCGCAACATGGGCATGTGTTCTGACTGGGAATCAAACTATCAACCTCCTAGTTCATTGGTCTATGCTCAACCACTGAGCCATACCAGATTCTATATTAATAAGCTTTTTCCTCACCAAAAGAGTATCAATATTAACATAATAAAAAGTTATTGAAAAGTTTATAAGTAATGATACACACATAATATGATGAATGAGTAAGTAATTTTATAGGTAATTTGAAACAAGCCATGGTCATACCTTGAACATGTAACCCATCTAACAGCTGACCTACTAAAGAATATTTTGTGGTTGACCACCTCATTTTTATCCTTTATCCCTTTTCAGTCTTATTGAGGTACTACTGAAAATAAAATTATAAGCTCTTTAAAATAAAATGGACATGTGGTGATTTGATATCCTATATAATAAAAGGCTAATATGCAAATAGTCCAAATGGCAAAACAACCAACCAACCAGTCACTATGATGTGTGCTGACCACCATGTGCCTGTGGAACATGGCAGGCGTTGGTCGCAGTGGGATGGTGGAGCAGGTGAGCAGAGGTGCCAGACCAAGGCAGGCACCAGTCACTGTCATCGGGGCGAGCCTCTGGTGGTTACTTAAAATTCTTTGCTCTCATGCGCCACGGTATCACGTGGAAGTGACAGTGGCTGGAGCGGAGCTGACAGTAGAAGAGGGACCAAGGGCCACAGCAGGAAGGGCCTGGTGGAGGCGTGGAGGATGGGCCCAGACCAGCCCTTGGGCCTACCATACCCTCAAAGCCCACAGTTCCTTTCAAGGTATATGAATTTGTGCACTGGGCCCCTAATCCTATATAATAAAGAGCTAATATGCTAACTAGATTGGACAGCAGAATGACCTTGTGCAACGACCTTCTGGAATGACCAATGGGCGAGGCCATGGGGCTGTGAGGGCTGAGCCTCTACAACAAATTTTGTGCATTGGGCCTCTTGTACATATACTGTATATTGTGAAGGAATACCCACATATAGTTAGCCAATATATTCATCTTCTCACATAGTTTTATTTTTAAATGAAAATGTTTATATTTTATTCTCTTATCAAATTTTATTTATACAATACAGTATTATCAACTATATTCACCACATTTTATAATAGATCCTCAAACCTTATTCATCTTATAGGTGAAAGTTTGTACCCTTTTAACAACTTCTACTTCTCTCAGTCCCTAGCAACAACTTTTCTATTCTCTGTGTCTGAGATTAGACTTTTTTTAGAAAAAGATTCCACTTTTAAGTGATACCATGCAGTATTTTTCAGTCTCTGTCTGGCCTATTTTACTTAAAATAATGCCTCAAGGTTCACTTATGTTGTCACAGTAGCAGGTTTTCCTTATTTTTCATGGCTAAATAGTATTTATTTGTATACATATACCACATTTTCTTTACCCACTCATATGTTGATGGACACTTAGGTTGTTTCTATGTCTTGACTATCGGAAATAATTCTGCAGTGAAAATGGAAGTATAGATATCTCTTGAAGATGTTTTTTATTTCTTTGAATATACACCCAGAAGTGAGATTGTGGGATATGATAGTTATATTTTTAATTTCTTGAGAAATTTCCATACTGTTTTCCATAGAAATTATACCAGTTAACAGTCCCACCAACAGTATGCAAGGGTTTTCTCCACATGCTTGTCAGCATTTGTTATCTCTTCTTTTTGATGACAGCCATTCTAACAGGTGTGAGGTGTTATCTCATTGTGGTTTTCATTTGCATTTCTTTGATGACTGGTGATGTTGAACAGCTTTTACTAATACCTGTTGGCCATTTCTATGGTCTTTAGAAAAATGTTTATTCAGTTCCTATGCTTATATATTAATTGGGTTTTTTGAATTTTTTTCGCTGCTGAGTGGTAAAAGTCCTTTATATATTTTGGATTTCAACCCATTGTCATATAAATTAATTACAAATATTCTCTCCTTTTCCATCAGTTGTTTTTTCATATTATTGATGATTTCATTTATTAATACTACGCAGTAGCTTTTTAGCTTGATGGAGTCCCACTTGTCTATCTTTGCTTTTGTTGCTTTACTTTTGCTTTTGGTGTCAAATGGAAAATTACTGCTACAACCAGTATCAAGGAGCTTTCTCCCTATATTTTTTTTCTCTAACTTCCCTAGTTTCAACCTTACATTGAAGTCTCTCTAATCAATTTTAAGCTGATTTTTATGTATGGTGTAAGATAGGAGCCCAGGTTCATCCTTTTGCATATGACTGTCCCGTTTTGCCAATCCCGTTTCTTGAAGATACTGTCCTTTCCCAATCTTAGAATGTTGGCTCCTTTGTTGAAAATTAATTGACCTTATATGCGTGGGTTTAGTTCTGGGCTCTCCATTTTGTTCCATTGACCTGTGTATCTATTTTTATGCCACTACTAAATTGTTTTGATTACTACAGCTTTGTAACATAATTTGAAATCGGGAAGCATGATGCCTCCTGCTTTGTTCTTTCTCAAGATTGAATTCAGGATCTTCCTCATTTTTTTTTTCTTATAACAGAAAGAGAGAAGATAATTCCAACAATTTTTATCTTTCATAAAATGTACTAAGCAATGGGCATCAAATTTGATTTCTTCTATTAAATCTACTCTCAAGAAAAGGTACCAATAAATAGAAAAAAGGGATAAAAAGATAGCATATTGCTATGCAACCTGGAAGAAACAAAGACATGCTATGTAGACTAGCCCAGACTATGCCTGAGTGTTGCAGGGCCTCTCACCTTAAAAGTCGTGGTGCCATACAGCTTGCTGGTATGGACTGTCTCTGGAAGCACATTAGTGATATTGGTGATGAATTCTTCCAAGAACTTACAGGATTTCTCCAAGTGTGTTGTATTGATAATAATCTGGACAAGCTGGAAAATAGCAAGCACATGTATGAATCATTTGACTATTCACCCCAGAATGAATGGCTCAATATGAATCTGCTGGTACAAGAAAAACAAAAGGCATGATGGCCGAGGCCATCTGCCTTCTACAAAAGGCATTTTAAAGCAGGGGTACTACTTCATCTGTAAAGTCTTCTCTGATTACCCAGAACATATTGAATTCCTCCTCCTCTCTGTAGGAGCTCTTGTCACTCTATTTTAAACACATGTTTTCTTCTGTTTAAAAAAGACTAGACTAAGAGAAACAAACTAACTTAGTGTTTAGCATAATGCCTAGCCTTAAGTAAGAGCCAAATAAATTAAATAAACTCCACTAAAAGAATAAGAATAATTGAAATGGCAAGAAAAAGTTTCCAAATTAGGCATGATAAACAGAGAGATGTTGGACTAGATTGCAGCACATTAAATTATATTAGTCTATGGAAGAAAAAACATGGGCACTAAAGTCAGAGAAACCACAGGATTAATAATGTACAAATTCTTGATCTTAAGAACACTTCTTAACTTCTCTAAGCCTGTGTTTTTACCTGTAAAATGTTAATAACTTCTAACTCACAGAGTTATTGTGAAAATTTCATATTTTTTAGTTAATACTATTTCTCTTTTCTTATAGAAAAGAACCTTAGCCCTAACCGATTTGGCTCAGTAGATAGAGCGTTGCCCTGCAGAGTCAAGGGTCCCAAGTTCAATTCCAGTCAAGGGCATGTACCTTCATTGTGAGCACATAGCCAGTAGGGAGGGTGAAGGAGGCAGCTGATCGATGTTTCTCTCTCATTGATGCTTCTAACTCTCTATCCCTCTCCCTTATTTTCCGTAAAAAAAAAAAAAATCAATATATATATATTTTTTTTTTTTTAAAAGAACCTTAAAGGAGACAGTGCTAGTAAGATTAAAGTAATCTATTAATTACTTTGAGGGGAGAATAGGAAGAATAACTATTATTATCTACACAGTTTGTAAAGCACTTCGCAATTCATGTTCGTACATTAACTTCCCAGCAACCTGCAGAAATAAATTAAGCGGGAATAATTATTTGTTCCATCTATACTAATAAAAGAGAAATATGCAAATTGACTGTGCCTTCATGATGCCCATCAGCCAATCAGGAATGAGTATGCAAATTGACCCAACAAAGGTGGTGGGTTAATTTGCATATACAGGCATGGAGCAGCAGGTAGGACATGATGCCTGCTATGAAGGGGGGGAGGGGAGCTACAGGAGTGGCACTCTATCCAGAAGCAATGACTTGCAGGCTCTGGGGCGGCCAGGAGTGAAGCCAGACGAAGGAAGGCCTCTTCTCGTATGAATCTTTGTGCAATGGGGCCTCTAATTTTATTATAACAAAAATAAAATTATTTTCTCTAGATCATATAAATAAATGGAACTATGTCTCAAATGAGCTCATCTACATGACTTATGACAGTGCCTTTGAGCAGAGCAGAGCTGGCAGCCCTAGCCCTGGCATGCTACAGGGTTAGTACAGTAGGCTAAAGTAAACTCTGGGTCTTCCACCAACTAGAACTCTCCATGGTTTCATTCTACTCTATGCAAAAATAAAAAATAAAATAAAATAAATAAAATAAAATAAAATAAAATAATAAAATAAAATAAAATAAAAAAGTATAAGTACGTACTACTTATTTCAACTATGAAAACTATTCATAGTCCCCAGAGTCTAAAAGAAATTTTTAAAAATACAAAAAGAAATTAGAATGGAACCTTTTTGTGTATCTCTCTCTTCCACATCTTTAACTTCTTCTTCTTCTTCTTTTTTTATAATCCTCACCAAAAGATATTTTTTCTAATGATCTTTAGATAGAATGGAAAGAAGGGGGTGAGACGAGAGAGAGAGAAATATTGATTTGAAAGAGATACATAGATTGGTTGCCCCTTGTAAGTGCCTTGACATGGGCCAGGGATGGAGCCTGCAACCAAGGTATATGCCATTGACCATAATAGAACCCAGTTCCCTTCAGTCTATAAGCCAATACTTCAACGACTAAGCCAAACCAGCCAAGGCTACATCTTTAAATTTTCATTTTCATAAGACTATTTTCTGGTGGCAGGGTTGTGGAAAGTAGGGGGAGTATTGGTGTACCAGACAATACATGAACTTGGTCCTTCTTTTTATCTAGGGGAGATAGTGAGCTGGGGCAAGAGTGGGTAGATGACACAAAGGGGAATTAGAACTAAAGATGAAGAGAGGTATTAAATTATTTTACAGTCAAATAATATTTCTATGAAATAGCAAACAAAAATATAAATAGGACTATAATCAAGTAGTACATCCTTATCTCCTAAACAGCACACAGCACATAGTTTTCTCAAAAAAAAAATCTATGTCAACTCATAATGGCAATGCTTTAGTAATAGATTGAACTGAGGACAAAGATACCTTCCACTCCCCTAAGAATAAGCTGGAAGATCCGAGAAAAACAGATACTTTTTAACGTAATGATAAAGAGCAAAGACTCAGAGATGCAGCTCCAACAAAGATGAAAAGTTAGGGCAACACTGGAACTAGATCTCTGTATTATTCCCCACAACTCATCAGACCAGTTCATATTCATCATTGGACCCATTCCACTCATTCCATGGATTGAATTTGGAGACTTCGAGTTTTAGACTCAGATATGATCTCCTATAAAATTACCCCAAACATCAGCCTTTTTAGCTTTGGAGGGCTCTAGAAAAAACATACATCCAAATAAGCAATTTGTCATCCTTTTCTTTTCATCAAGTTTGTCCCTCTGAGGAGGAGTAAAATAATTTTTAAAGATTTTAGTAGTCTTAATTAATCATTCTTTTTCCTAAGTGGGAAAGTGACTATTGGCAAGGTTGTCTTGATGTGGAAGTCAGAAAAGTACGAGTTAATTTGGAGAACTGAAAATTTTCTATTTTAAAGTCAGCATTACCTATCAAGAACACATTCTACTTATCAAAAACAATCCTAATAATAAGGAGAAATCGTGTCATGTTATTGAAATAAAAAACAGTGGCAGTCAAAGAGAAAATTGTCTTGTTTTACAGGATATTGTCAGTTTAAAAAAAAAAAAAAAAAAAAGGAGGCGGCTTCACTGGGTACAGTAGTAATTTCCCAAGACTTTTTAAAGATCTGTCAACACAAAAGATCACCATGAATTATGTCAATTGGCTGTCAGTCACTTCTGAAATGTTTCATTGCTAAGCATAGAATAGACTATTAAAACACTCTAGGATTACAGTAGATACCATGTCATTTTCAAAGGGAATATTGTCTGTTAATGAGGTCTAAGTGTCTCTTCTCCTGAATGACAGCTAACCAAAATCCTTACAAGGGCATTTATTACAAATGTGAAGCCAGATGCTTTAGGTAATTTTTAACGTAAGGATGAAACGAAGCAATTTCAGATATCATCTTCCATCAGAGTTTGAACTTCTTTGGTATATTTAACCCCTACTTCCCTCTCTATTATAAAAATATATCACTGTCCTTTACATTGTTTCAAGGATGTGGAACTAACAGATTAGATATTAGTTATGTCTTACATAAAGTAAAAGTTCTATGAGAATTATCCAAAAAAAATAAAACACTATATTGCAAACAACCACCTCTTACAATTAAATGGCCAAAGTTGCTTTGGTTAAAAATCATTAAGCAGCAGAACAATCTTCTGTCTCTCCCAGTATCACAGAGAATCAAGTAAGCTAGGGCAAAGAGCAGACTGTGGGAGTCACTTCTCCAGCTCTGATGAAACACCCAGGGGAGCCTGAACCACGATGACAGGTAGATGGTCATATTTTTGACAAACTCCAGAAAAGAAAATGACTTCATCATCTTCAATAGTTCAAAACTAAGCACTACATTCCAAGAACAACTTTCTATCCCCAATTATAAATTACTTCTGGGGTGTTTATATCTACCTAAATTAGAATTGATATTATCTTATTTCCCAAAGCAGAGAATTGGGAAATTCTTTCCAAAAGGATGAACTCAAAGCCAGTAAACAGAAGTTACACTGCTCCCCACACCACCAGTGCTTCTCTATTGTTACATTTGCAAGAAGATAGAGAACTAAATAGCAGCTTTGATTCTCACTCACAAAAATATGATCCCTAAGACTTCAAGGAATTTTTATCTCCATTTCACCCCTGCAAGAGTACAAAAAGGAATGTTAACTGCTGATTTTATAACATCTCCAAGGAAAATACCTAAAATACTTGAACTACTGGTTCCAAATTCAGTGGTCTAGTACAAAGCTTATATTTGACAAAATTTCAGTATAAAATATTTTAACATAATATTAGCAATATCATTGCTATTTAACCACAGGGGTTAGAGACAAATGGTGTGTGGGAGATAAATAACAAAGGCTAGAGCCAGTGAGCATTCTAAATTATATTAAAAACAAAGGTTAAATGCAAAGCACTAGCCATTTATTCATGTCTCCTGGGGCACATTTTAATCATGAAAACATAAATAATATGAAATAATTACTAATAGAAACTCTGAATTTCTCTAATTTTACTCTAGGAACAATAAAAAGGAAGTTCTGCAAAATGAAAAAACTATCCTAAATAATGTCATATGCGGCATTCAATGGGGGGGGGGATTTTGTTATAAGTAGAATTCCATCATTGCCTATATCCCACATATTTCGTATCTTAGCACATCCACAGAAGTATTTGTTCAGCTGGCTTCCTGTGGATCAATATCAACCATTTACTAACTTTAACTATAATCTCTGACAGTATCTATATGAAAATGTCAATTTTTTCTAGAGCAACTGCCTTTCTAACTACTCTACCGCTACAGGTAAAACAGATGGCCAACAACCTTTTCTTTCCCTGTGAAAACAAAAATTCTTCAAGCACTCACTTTGGCACTATAAATTCCATAAGATGGCAGGTTGAGGTTCCCATGCAATCCCAGGTCCAAGAGAAAGTAAACTACACATCTTTCTAAATTTTAGGACTTCATGCCAATACTCCAAATCTTCATTTTGCCAAGATCCTGTCCCCAACATATGTACAATATCCCTCGTCTTTTTCTGAGACTGTATAAGCTTCCACAGAAGTGTGATGAATGCCTTTCTCTCACATTTCCCCACCCAAATCCACACTTACATGCTGATAAAGAGTAAAATACCATTCACATACATGAGGTATTTCACAAATTAAAGCTAAGTCTAATACTAACCAAGGACTATGAGTACCAATATCTGTGGCATCAATGATTTCTGCAGGCAAAAATATGATCTCATCTTGTATGTTTGTATTTGGACAGCCACTTCTTTGGATAGGATCATGATATTAATATATTCTCTAACCAACAATTTTGTTTATATAATTAATAGCAAATAATACAAATTTAACCAAACGTCCTCAGAAAGGAAAATCAATTAAGGTAGTGATAACAATGAGAGAGAAAAAGTGACTTTCAAAAACTAATAATGGACTTCTCCAGAATGACCAAAGAAATACACAAGTCAGTTATTTTGCACTTTCACCTTTAGGGGTCCACCCGGAAGAGCATGATGAACCATATGGAAAGTTGTGATAAATTAAAAAAAAAAAAAAAAGAAAAGAAACCCCACAGCTTATAACATCTGTTGACATATTGCTTTGGCTATCTCCATTAAGAGCAGCTTTACCTCAGTTAGTCCAATATTTTTCCTTTTAATGACATTCTGCAGAGAGTTACTCAGAGTCCTGGTCAGCAACAGGTTTGTAGATTTTCTAATCATGTCATCAATTTCAGTTGTGCTGAAAAAGAAGTGTCAATAGTTAGTCATACTAGGTAGCAGAGTTATATTGCAAACAAATAAATTAGTGCTTATAATAATAGTAATAATAACTAAATAATGGCAGCAGCAAATAACATTTATTATGTGCCAGAAATTATTCTAAGTACTTTAATGATTTAAATTTTACTTAATCTTCACAATAAACATGAAGAAGTTTTATTACTATCTCTACAGATGAGAAAATGAAGGCACAGAGGAATTAAGTAACTTGCTCAAGGTCACACAGTGAGTACAGAGTAAAAAAAAAAGGGGGAGGGTAGATTCACATGGGCAATCTTGCTCTAAAGGCCACAGCCTTTAAACACTATGCTATACTCTCTCTCAGAATAAATAGTTCCCTAGGATGATTCCTCAGCTTAAAACCATTATTTCTCCTATACTTGCAAGTTCCTTCACAGATTAATATTTATAATTTTCCAACCTGATCTCTCAGTAGACTTCTTACACAATTAGCGGATAAAGAAGATAGCTCTCCTCCTGTATTATCATTTCTATTTTGCTCTGGTTCCAAAATAAGTGTTTCAAGACAGTAGTTTAATTCTACATATATGTTTTAAAATCCCATTCAAGGGCAATAAATAAAGACATTTTGTATTCATTAAAAAAAAAACTAAACAAAGAAGATTATTCCAAAGCTATTTTTATATGCAAGTTTTAAAAGAAAACAGTCTTGCAACCAACAGACTAAATCTGAAACCTATACAATCCTTCATGAACTCCTGCAAACATTACCCAGGAATGCTTTCTGGAAAAGATATCCTTTTGAGATAAACAGTTCTTCAATAACAAGGTCAGTACTGTAATAATACTTGTTTATACACATCAAAAACTAACTGTAAGTAAAGATGTGTGAACATTTCTTTGTCAATAATTTATTGCTTATGGACAATGGTCACCAATTTTATCTCATTGATTTCTCTTTCTGCAGAAGGAAATTAAAGGCTTATTACAGTTGAAATAAAAATCTTAAAATTCTAAATACATAATAGACAAGCTACATTGTTATGCTATGATGAAAAGAGAAAAATATTAGAAACAAATAAGATTAGAAAATAAAAAGCCATAACCAGTTAGGAAAAGAGATACACAAAAATATTTTACAGGGTCCATATAAAGATATATTTTATTGACCAATAATTTCTGGCCCATTGCCACCCTTCCCAAAAATGATTATTTAATTGAAATACTTCGTCCCACAAATATAAGGTACTAGGCATTGTGTTAGAATATTCAGGTCACAATGATGAACAAAATAGTTTTGTGGTTCCGTCTTCACATAATTAAGTCATAATTACATCACACTGATTGTAATATGAGCTATGAATAAATACAGGCTGCTATAACCATGATTAACACAGGTGCCCAAAATAATCTGGTGACCATGATATTAATCACTGTCATGGCATCCTGTGCTTATTACATCTCTATTATGCTTTAACAAGAACTAGCAGAAGTTCGACTTTTAGATGATGTAGAAGATCAAGACTATCAACAAGAAACCTAGATCCAAGCAAACAGCTATATTTTCCTTAAATGTTAACAAAGTGTAAATGAACTAAACTGCAAACTGGAATAAGCCCTTGAAAGGTGAGCAAAGACTACCCGCCACTTTCATATCTTATGCCAAAACCTAATCTGGGTACAGATAGAAGAGGGAGTAAGAGGCATAGGCTGACAGGCTTTAGTGGGATGGAGAAAAATCAGTCCAGCCTTTAAGAGTTCGGACTAATAATACAGATTGGAATCTTGGAAAAGCCCCCAAACAAAAATAAACATACTGACCCAACAATTCTTTCCTATAAAAACTCAGTTACATAAGATATGGTGGAGGCAGTGCTAGAAATCAAAGAGAAATCTTTCAAATTTTGCAAGGATTTAGGATCCAGACCTATACTGAAACCAATCCAAAGGAGAGCAAAAACTAACTAAAGTTGAAACCCAGCCCAGCTCAAATCCTGTTAAGATCACAGATAAGGCCCTGGATAGAAGCTTTGGGATTTTAGAGTTGGTCTTTGGAAGAAAAAGATTTCTGCAATGCCATTTAGAAACAGAAGTAATTGAAACTAATTAAAACTGAGACACATTCAGTTCACTCAAGTTATGATGAAATTTGAATGGTTTATCAAGCAACTAGAAATCACAGAAGAAAATGGGAAAGAGACATACTTAAGGACATATTAGCATAATCATCTTCAAACCTCTTAAAAGATTTCAACCTGCACATATAAGAAATTCAGCATATTCCAAACAGAATGAATGCAAATAAAACACACAGGAACATCACAAACTGTAAAATGCAAAGATAAAGAGAAAATCTTAAAGGCAACCAGAGAAAAAAGATAATAATTCAGAGAAAGAAACAACAATAAGAGTGTCAACTTGTTTCTCTTCAGAAGCAATGAAAGTAGACAGTGGGATGACATCTTTAAAGTGTAGGGAAAGGGAGACTGTCATCCTAGTATTCTAGAGCTTGAAAAACTATGTTTTTAAAAACAAAGGTCAAAAAACTTTAGACAAACAAAAGCTAAGAAATATGTAACAACAGAAGGTATACACTAAAAGAAATGCTAAAATAAATTCTTCACACTGAAGAAAAGTAATATCAAAAGTAACCTAAATCTGCAGGAAATAATTAGAAGGCCTAACAATGGGAAATATGTGGGTAAATATAAAGAACTACCTTTTTCCTTGAATTTGAAAATGATATTAAATGTTCAAAGCACATTTTAGGGTTTAAAAACAGGCATATAAGTGAAGTATCTGCCAACAATAACAAAAGAGGAAGAAAATACATTGCATTATACTGTTGTAAGATTGTTATATGTGAAACGATATATTATTTGAGATAAATTGTAGTACGTTAAGGATGCACACTGTAATCCCGAGAAACCACACTAATAAACAATAAGTAAATAAAACAATGTTATACTCAAATAAGCCAGTGGGGGGAATAAATCATAATACCAAAAACACTTATCCAAGAAGATGGAAGTAAATTAGGAAAAGGTGGTCAAAAATTAATGGGCCCTGGATGGTGGCTGGTGTGGCTCCGTGGTTGAGCATCAACCTATGAATCAGGAGGTCACAGTTTGATTCCAGGTCAAGGCACATGCCCAGATTGCCGACTCCATCCCTAGTGGAGGGCATACAGGAGGCAGCTAATCAATGATTCTCTCTTATCATTGATGTTTCTGTCTCCCTCTCTCTCTCCCCCTCACCTTTCTTCTATGAAATAATTTTTTAAATTTAATTAATGGGACAAATAAAAAACAAAAGTAAGACAGCAGGCTTAAATCCTAGCATATCACTAAATGCATTAAGATAATAGCATAAACATTCCAATTAGGCAAATTGAATTGAAAACCAATACCCACTATTGTTGCTTGAAAATGGCATGTTTTAAACATACAGACACATGCCCAGATCTTATTTTCAAGATATAATCAGCATTAAAAGAACTGGACTCTTTTGAGAAATTATTGACATCGTTGATAAGAGGGGAAATGTCCCAAACATAATGGGAATGCATCAACAAGGCACAGAGCAAGAAGTAGCTCACACTAGACACACACACACACACACACACACACACACACACACACACACCAATTTGAGCATCAAAATGAACCATCTAAATGAAGTAAGAAACCATGAGTCTGATCTAAAGCTAGAGATGATTAGTGGATGGCAGATATAGATAGCTAGATTGACAGACAGCAAAGGGAGGACTCCTAAATAAATTCATATACAAAATATTTAAAAATCAAAATTAGTAATTATTAAAGAAAAAAATGATTTAGGCAAGAATCATTAATGATATCATAAGGAGGAGAGAGATGGAGGACATATGATAATAGAGTAAATATGCAGTCTCAAAGTATTTCAATACAAACATTATTTATAACAAAAGGAAAATGATAACTATACAGGGAAGACAGAGAAGACAGAATCTTAAACAATTAATCAAAATTAACACAAACCATGAGGGTTTATAATACTACTAGAGGCCCGGTGCATGAAATTCATACACAGGGAGGGGAATGTCCCTCAGCCCAGCCTGTATCCTCTCCAACCTGACACTCCTCAGGGGACATCCCTCTCACAATCTAGGACTACTGGCTCCTAACTACTCACCTACCTGCCTGCCTGATTGTCCCTAGCCTCTTTGCCTGCCAACCTGATAGCCCCCTAACTGCTCCCCTGCTGGCATGATTGTCCCTAACTGCCCTCTTGTGCTGGCCTGATCGCTTCCAACTACCTTCCCCTGTGGAGCTAAGGGGACTGGGGGACTCCAGCTGGATGAGGCAGGGCTAAGGGAACTGGGGAACTGAGGCTGAATGCTGTGGGGATTGGGTGCAGTGGGGCTGAGGGGAATGGGTGCCTCCGACTGGATGAGGCAGGGCTGAGGGGACAGGGGACTGAGGCTGGATGAGGTAGGCATGAGGAAACTGGGGGACTCCGCTGGATGAGACAGAGCTGAGGAGACTGGGCACCACCATCTTGTGAGGGCATGATGGTCAATTAGCACATTCCTCTTAATTAGATAGGATATTCACACTCATATATATGCAGAGTGAAAGGGGGAGGGGGGAGGACGGAAGGATTAATAAACCAAATATGGAAAAGTGTCAAATATTAGTAAATTTAGGTAAGAAGTATTCAGTTCAACATTACAATCAAAACTTTTCCTTGCCCAGCCAGCATGGCTCAGTGACTGAGTGTCGACCTATGGACCAGGAGGTCACAGTTCAATTCCCAGTCAGGGCACATGCCCAGGTTGTGGGTCAATCCCATTGGGGGCATGCAGGAGGCAGCCAATCAATGACTCTCTCTCATCATTGATGTTTCTATCTTTCTTGCTCTCTTCCTCTCTGAAATCAATAAAAATATATTTTCAAAAACAAACACTTTTCCTTAATGTTGAAAGAATTTGCTAAAAGTAAAGATTGCTATGTAATA